GGACTATGCCTGCCCGCTCTTCCTAAACTTCCTCTTTAATACAGTCCCTAAAGGTTCCTCTCAGTAAGTTCCTCTCAGTCCCTAGTCATAAGACATGCTCAGTATGGGAATCCAGTCCTACCCTACTCAGCCTTAGCTCCTTCTCCTCCCATTTGAATTGACATTGTCAATATTCTCCTTCTAGTTAGGGCACCATTGATTGTCATCCTTGGTTTCCCTAGAAATCAGAAATCATAGGTTCTGAGGGGGTAAGGAATCACAAAAGGATTAAATTTGAGGAAGTTACTCCTTTTTGATCCTTAAATATTTTTCCTAGCCTTAGTACCCTAGAAACCACCCTGTCCTACTGGAAAATTGTAGCAATATTACCAATGACACTAGAAAAAGCAGACCCCAAGCACTGACTCCATGGCCTTCTGACCCCTACACTTTTGTCCTAAGCTCTCTGGCTCTGGTTTGTTTTTCTTCCTATTCTGTGTTGCTTATTTTGATGGCACATCCTTCCAGCTCAGCCTGGGATGACCCCATGACCCTTCTGTGTCCTGTTTGTAGGATCTAGGACAAGCAATGAAATAGAAAAGGTGCAATGGCCATAAGAAAGTCATGGCCCCGGCAGGAAACCTTTCGATTCTAGCAGCTGGGCAGGACCTTCTGAAGACAGTGCAATGATCCCTGGAGGACACAAGAATTCCAGATTATCATAGTCTTAATCTCTCCTCTAATTGGTACATACAACCAATTAAAAGAGCAAAACAAAATAGGGATACCCCTACACTCTGAGTCAAGCGATGTGGGTGATCCTAAACACACAGTTGTATGACTTCAGGTTAACCTCTTTGAGACTCAGTTTCTTAATCTATAAAATGGGAAGCTACAACTACCTATCTCTCAGAAAGTTTCCAGCTGCAATAGAATTCTATATGAATTCTATTTGGTTGTGATTGACTCAGACTAAGAAGATGAGTAATGAGTACTCTCACTTTATTTTACTTATTTTGTTGTTGTTAAGAATATACATAGCAAAATATATACCAATTCAACAGTTTCTACATATACCATTTAGTAATGTTGACTACATTCTTTGAGTTGTGTACCCATTTTCACTCTCTTTTCTGAGTTGTTCCTCCCCCATAAATAAGAAGTCACTGCCTCCTACGGTTCCTATCTAATCCTCTAAATTGCTGTTGTCAATTGATCTCATATAGATAGCTCTTTAAAAAGCACAATTCTCAAGGCAGATGTTTTTTATTAGTTAAGCTACACTATTGATAGGTTTTAAAGAAGGCTTCAGAGGATATTTTTGGTTTAAGGTTTAAAGAGTATCTCAGAACAATAGTTTTAGAGGTTCGTCCAACCTTCATAGCTCCAGAAGTCTTGAGTCCATGATAATTTGAAACTCTGTTCTTCATTTTCCCCCTTTGGATCAGGATTCTTCTATAGAATCTTTGATCAAAATATTTGGTAATGGTAGCCAGGCACCATTCAGTTCTGGTCTCGTAGCAAAGAAGAGAGTTCATGGAGGCAATTAGGCACACCTTCAATATCCTTCTTCCTCTGCTACTCCAGGGGAATGGAGACCAACTATTGTGCCTTCAAAGGCCACTTGCAAGTTTTTAAGACCCCAGGCACCATGCAGCAAACTAGGAAGCAGAACAGAAGCACTAAACATGTTATTAGGCCAATTAACTGGGATGTCCCATGAAACCATGACCCTAAACCTCCAAACCAAAAAACCAAAGGATGAGTATTCTTGTAGTAGTTGGTTTCAAAACGCGAATGCCCTTTGTAGCTCCACTTGCTCATTCAATTCTGCAGGGTTCTCCCAATAGCATGAAATAGAGGAAACTCCAATTTTATAAATGAGAAAATAAGGCTCTGAAAGAAGGGATTTATCCAAAATTGCAAAACTAACCAAGAGAATCAATGAAGACTTCAAATATAGGTCTAACAGAATTTTCAGAAATTTATCAACATATTCCTCCATAGGCTGAGATCCTAGTACTTGTAGGCACTATGCTCAATGATGGAGACATAGAAATGCACTCAACACTGTCCTTGTCCTCAAAGAGTCCAAAGGTTAGGAAAGGAGAACAATGCAATCCTACAGACATAAAAAGAAGGAAGTTATAAGTGGTAAAATAAAGGTCTGAACCAAGGAACTATAATAGCAGAAAAGAAAGATTATCTTCACAAGAAGAATCTAGAAAGGTCTCCCCAAAAAGCTGGAACTGATACATAAAAGATAAACAGAAGGTAGACAAGGACAGATGTTAGACATTCGAGATAAAGGGCACAGTGTGTGTGAATGTATAAAGGCTAGTAAAAACAACAACAACAACAACAACAGGATTTGGAACAATTCAAAGTCTTTACAGCTGACTCATAAAGTATATAGAAAAATATGTCAAGATATCCAATTGAATAGGTATGTAGGTGTTCATTTAGGACGGGCCCTCTCTACTGGGCTAAAAGTACACCATGCATTGTTTAAGTAAGGAGGTACAGCAGAAACTAGTATGTCATCCCCATCCTATGGAAACCTCCCCTAACACCCACCTTATAGACCCCTGAAACTATCTGAGAAAAAAACAGCTAAGAAAATCTCTGAACTCTGTCAGAAGTTTAAGTTTAATCTCTGAAAAGGACCACATTAGAAGGTCCTGGACAGAGCAGTAGAAAATGTGGAACAAAACTCAAAATCATAAGAAAGACTAGGCTAACCTGTCAGATAGAGACTGTTGGAAGCCCAAGACTGTGACCCTTGATCATCCTTCAGGTGTGAAACTGAACTCACCCTCATGGATCAATTTTCAGCTAAACAACAGATAAGTACATAGGAGGGACAACAACCTAGTGTGAAGTACACACCCAATAGAATGGTCAACCATACAAGCTCAAAGGGGCGGCATTTACCTAAAGACAAAATTCAGAAGGGTTGGGAAAGAAGGAGGAATGGAAACAGGAAACACAGGGCACAAGTGGGCTGAGTAATGTTACGTTGAGGGGATGAAACAAAGTGTATGATTTGTTGAATGTAAAACTGATGATGTGCTCTGTAAATCTTCACTCAATTCACAACAGTGTTGCTTTTTTTTCCAAATTTAGATTTAAAGGTCCCCTTTCCCCATAGAAATTTGAAACTTCTTCTGTTCCAGGATTTGGCAATACATGTTTTCCTTCTTATCCAGAGTTACAATTTCTTTAGTACTTGGACTCCACACTTACCTAACAGATTTTGCTGTTAGTATTAAGACCCTACACACAATGGGATCATTGCTCAGTCCATGTACTGAGGCCAGACAGTTCCATATCAAGAATACCTGCTTTACTTGGACATTGGATACTCAAATTGGGCGGGGGGGGGGGGGGGGGACTACAAAGGCAAGAAGTGACTGGCTTACAAGCTTTCAAGAGGGAACCTAGTGCTAGGGAGCATGGAGGAAGGCAGAATCTCCAGTAGGTACTATTCAATCTGTCTGGGCGGAGCTGATGAAAGGAGATACAGAAGGGTAACTCGTGATACTGTAGTGAATAATGCTTATCAGGACGGACTTGAGAGTTGGAAATGCAAGGTAGACGTTTTGTAACAAGGAAGGGAGTGATTAAATCTCCAGGATAGGAGCGGAGACCTCTGGGACCATCAATAGAGAAGAGCCAAGAGCGGGACCCTACCCAGAGAAACACAGATGCCTGACATGGAGGCAGAGATGATGATGCAGAGTGATGAAGCGACTGGGGACTTTGGACCCAGAGAGGGAAAGGGACTGTGGGTCGAAAACTGGGGGGAGGAGGGGGAAGTGTAGGGGGCGGGTTTCTGGGATATACCCTTTGGGTGGTTGATGATGCATAGAGGGGATTGGAACCATGGCAATGAGATGATATACGATGGAATGAATGTAAAACTAAAGTTCTCCCATGTAAACTATCATAAAACTATCATATAATTCACAATAAAACATAAAAAAAAAAAAAAAATACCTGTTTTATGTCTGTTGCTATTGTTAAGTGATGTTGAGTAGGTTCCAACTCATAGCGACCCTGTATAGGGTTTCTGAGGAGCAACTAGTGGGTTTGAACTGCTGACCTTGAGTTAGTCCAGTGCCTATCCTACAGCACCACACTAGGACTCCTAGCACTGTAAAAAGTGCTAATTTCAGGTTTAAAAGAAGTCTGATGCATAGTCCTTATCCACAACAAACTTACAAATTAGCTTAGAAGACAGAAATACAATATTACAATGGCATTATTTACTTACACAATAAAGAACCAACTTGGGCAGCATGTATAATTAGAAAATGAGATAATAATACTAAGATGCTAACTGTACAACCAACAAGTCCCAGAAAAGTGAGGGTAGGAGAATATCAATATTGACTGGCATTATCAAAGGTCACTATTATTAAAACTTCCTCTGTTTGGCATTTAACAGATGTTTCTTTTGGCCAACCTTAATCCTTAGAAGAGAAACCTAGGCAGGAGCTCCTGACAGGCCACAATTATCTACTCCCCATTCATTCCTTTGCCAGTTCCCTTGTATAAACACCGTGATTTTCCACAGCTACTGTGGCCACAAGACAGTCCCCAAATGGTAACACTGAGTTTTTAGCCTTCCTCTACTGCTGGATGCTGAAAGGGCCTACAAAAGAAATAATGACTATTCCTCTACTCCCATAATCCCAATGTTGTAATCGGATCGCAATAAGAAAATTTTAACAGCTGGTCATCCAAGAGTAGAGCTTTCCAAATAAACTCCCTAGGTACTTTAACAGAGATGTTTTACAAACGTTACAGTCTTTCTTTCTATTTTCCCCATCCTTACCCATGTACAACAACCCATGTACACCTCACAATTTATCAGACTTTCTGTAGGCAACTTTTGCAGAGAAAAGGTTTTTCAACCACACAAGTCATTTAACACCCAAAATGTAAGTCATCACTCAGGCACCTGAAAAAGTGAAGCAAAGCAAAGTTGCTCTAGGAAAAAGGAAATCATATCCTACCTCTACCATAAATTGTTCCAAGAAGGAATTTTCTTCAAATGGCTCTGTCTTTAATCGATCTATAATGAGGAAGGATAGAGAAAAAAAATATGAATTCTAGGATAAGATTCCACCCTGTGAAATGAAAAGGGAGCAGAATACAGAGGGCTTCTTGGAAAGAGGAGAAAAATGCAACATCCAAAGACACATCTAACCCAATGGGCAAAGAAGGGCTGAGAGTATCTGAGCAAGCAAGGAGGAAGAGAGTAATTAATAATGACAGGTTCAGTGGCAGCATCTACTCTAGGAATGTTTCCTGCCACAAAAGCAAAGGGTGAATTCCTAAACTTCCAATTTCATGTTGCCCGAGCACAATCTTATATAGCTATTGGCCCTTTTCCCAAGTCTTTCCTTGCTATTGCTTAGGGCATGTCTGGACTCAGTTACAGCTTCTACTGGTCACTTGGGTGCTAGCCAGGTACTTGAGGCAGAGAGAAGTATTGCCTGGTATCAAGCACCTAGAACGCACCCTTGGGGAACCATCGCTTTAATGTTAACACGTCGCCCCCTTTTCTAAGGATGACCCACCCAATACTTCAAAGGACATTTTCTCACCTCGACTCAGTGTAGCCCCACTCTCGTGGTAGTCCTGGATCTCTAAGTCTTTCATACGAAGCAACGTTGCTAGTTCCTTCACTTGGCACTGCAGTGCCAGACTCATGCCCATCAGAGGACGGATCAAATGTTGCGATACCTTTGAGAGGAGACAGATCAATTAGCATCAGATACAAAGTATTCCTGAACACTGTATTAGGTACTAGAAAAGGATACTAATGAATAAATGTCTTCACAGAAACTTACAGCTTCATTGTTGTTGTTGTTGTTGTTGTGATGTGCCGTGGAGTCAGTTCCGACTCATAGCGACCCGTACAGGGTTTCCAAGGCTGCAAATCTTTACGGGAGCAGAAAGCCTCATCTTTCTCCCGCGGAACAGCTGGGAGTTTCGAACTGCTGACCATGAGGTTTGCAGCCCGATTCATAAACACTACGCTACCAGAGCTCCTTTACAGTTTCATAAGCACTATAAAAAAAATCCATTGCAATTGAGTCAAATCTGACTCATGGCAACCACATGTGTGTCAGAGTAGAATTGTGCTCCATAGGATTTTCAATGCTGATTCTTTCAGAAGTGGATCACCAGGTCTTTATTCGAAGACTCCAAACACCAACATTTCAATGAGCAGCCACGTGTCAACCATGAGTACCACCAAGCAATCCATTTATATAAATGTAAACACAAATACAGTAATTCAATATATTAAAGTGATTCCGGAATTTTCTTTGTGACACAGATAAAAGAAGGAAAGAATAAAGGAGAACACCCATGAGCAGATGACCTAGAGTTGTGATTTAAAGAAAAGGATTTGATAATAAGAAAGGGTTGGCTCCCAGGTGGAGAGCTGGTTGGCCAGCAGTGTGGCAAGACCTGGGGACTCTTGGGCCCAGAGTCAGTGACATAGCCACAGAGGACTAGAGTGGAGAGTGAAGCATCCAGCTG